GAGGGAGAGAGAGAGAGAGAGAGAGAGAGGGGGGGGGGTGCGAATAATTATCGTTGCTGTTTTAACAGATGGGGACAGACAGGTAAAGAATGTACTGGATTCTCTCCTCTCATGGCACAGTAGCCACCTCCTTCCTACCCACGCTCCTCAGCTCTGCCACCCTCCCCCTTCAGTCTGATGGGCTGATGTGACTCAACTTGAAATCATCTGTAAACTCAGAAGCCACACACACATATGCATGCACACACACACACACACAAACCCTGGGGGGCGGGCTGGTAGTGTCAGATTTTAAAATCCCACAAAGCTCACAGGCTGGATGAGCTAAGTGTAGCTGCAGCCCCGTGTTGAGTGCCCTGTTATGGATTCTGTCCTGCCATGTGGGAGTCGCAAGTCGGGTCCACAGGGACTGTGTGTACTCCAGTGGCTGTCTTAATTAAGGAGGCACAAACAGAGATTTCCGACGTGGAAGGTCACAGAAGAAATTAATTTAGGGACATTGGGTGGCTTGCTGGGGTGTGCAGTTCTCAAGAACCTCCTATAATCCCCTGTGGGGAATCAGTCGGAGACATCATCTCAGGCATCAATCACAGGGAGCAGCCGAAGCATGCTGGGTCTTCATTTGACCTGGTCCCGAGACAGCGCAGAACAGGGGCGCCCTCCCCCCTCCACTGTTCTCAATACACCCTCTCTCTGGCCACACGCTCACATTTGTGAGTCCTGCTGGCCTCTCCTTCCAGAGTGAACGCCCCTGTTTCTGAAGAAGCACAGGGCTATGGCGCACTGAAGGGAGAAAGCTAATAAAGAACGGGTTTTTAGCATGAAAAGTGGCTTCTCGCACTGAAGACTTCCTTATTACGTCATGAATCACAGTTAAATGCTAACGCGGGCCTGAACACCTAACTGGTCTATAGTTCAAGGAAAAGTACAAGACATTTTCCCAGAATATTACTTCCTGCTGCTATTTTGTCGGATATAAAGCAAAGAAAATGTCCTTGTATTCCACTGTACCTCAAGGAAGGAGAGGATCTGAGTCGTCCTGTGTTGTCCTTGCTCTTCTTGCCAGACCAATTGGCTCCTGGTGACTCAGTTATTGCTAAACGACAGCTAGGAAGGGGTGAGGTCGGGGATATGGATCAGCTGGCGTCCTCATTCACAAGTCAATGTTAGGGTTTGATTCCAGGGACAGGAGAATAGGGAAGAAAACAAAGGCAATGCGGCGACCCAGTGAGGGCTAGGAGGTCCTGACGGGACACTGGATGAGCGCCCACCATTACAGAGTGACCCTTCAGACTCCAATTTCCCGCAGTTTCCTGTGCCCCGCAGGGAGCTGTCAGGCATCGGGACCCTGTCTAAGCATCCTCAGGCCTGGGTCTCCCAAGTGGGTGGGGCTTTGACGAGGCTTGCAGACTCCCTGGTGACCTCACCCAAGCATTATTACCTATGGGTACCCTAGTCAGGTGGGAGCTTGACCACGCTTGCAGATGCAGTCTGGGCAGGTCTGGGACTCGCTGAGAAGTTGAGATGGACGGTGGGAAGGCAGGCCTGCCAATCGGCACGCTAATTAGTGCTTCTCATTAGAAACAGCCGGGGCTGACTCGGGTCCAGGGAGCGTGCCCGTGGCGCAGCATTGATTGGCACGAGCGGAAGCCAGTTCTGACGGTAAGCGGCTGGCAGATGCCACCAGCGAGCGGCCTGACACTCATGGCCAGAGCCGCAGCAGATCTCTGTGGTCTCCCTCTACTGGTCGGAACCGGCATTGAGCTCTGTGTCTGCAAGACCCCCAGAAATATCTGGAGCCTAGGCAGGGCCTCTCTGGGGTCTGGGGAGCTGATGTGCATGCGTCCTTCTATTCTGTCCATGAAAGTTTTAGTTGCGGCCATGAGCAGTCCTGGCGGACTTCTGAAAATACTGACTTCAAACATATGAACCTATAGAGGGGTCATTCTTACTCAGACCACCAGAGGCCGGGAAGAGGGACTGGCCCAAACTTGATGCCACATTTGAAACTACCTGGAATGCAGCAGTGGCGGAAATGCCCACTCATACCTGTTTTGCAAAGTATGGGATCCAGAGTCACACTGATCCTGTGGTCGTACGAGAGCATCCAGCAGGCGAGAGTCTGGCATTTGCCCACCTGCTTTCTGCTTCCACTGTCCAGCCCTATCAGCCCTACACAGGTCGGGCTTTGGAGGACCAGGGGAGTGAGGATGGGCACAACTGTAGACACCTCGGCCAGCAGGACCGCCGCGGGTGGTGCAGGGGGCAGCTGCTGTCTGCATCAGCCCCAGATAGACCGCGACCGTGTAGACTTTCCCTCAAATCTCTTCTAAGAATACACTCTTCAACGGACAGACATTGCAGTTTGAAAATGTCATCCCATCAACATATTTAGAGAGAAGAGCAAAGTCTAGATAATATAAAAAGCCAAGGCAGAATGTACTATTGATTCCTCCATCCAGTTTCAGCTTAGACCTGTTTGACAATTAATTATCACTAAAGCACGGTAAAGTCGAGCCAGGGGAGAGCGAACTGACATATTGACTCTTGGGAGCCTCTGGGGACCTTCACAAGGCAGTAAGTTAGCATTCTCTCCATCTTATATCTCTGTCAGTCCTGTCGACAGAGGGGATGGGTCTCTGCCCCTTCATAACCACCTACGCTTAGGTCAGTTCCGGAAGGTGTGTGGCTTTGGGTAGACTCCCCACTATCTCCTGGGTCGGTCTTGCTTCTGAGAAAAAAACAAGGCTATTATTTCCTGAACCAACTAACAGGTAGTTTTACCTTTTCTGCGATTCAATGCAGCAAGTCCCTGAAGTATAGAGACGGAGACAATCATGATTTGGTGACCAAACCACTCATAACCCTGGCACCAACCGGAAACCAGGTGTTGAAGTGCCGGAGCCCACGGGAGACGTTCTCTTTCAAACCACCACAGATACTCTGTGGAAAGGCAACGGGGGGGGGGGCAGGGGGGATGGTTTATTTGACCTAGAATTCTAAGTTGCAGTATGCCATTTAGGAGAAACTAAGGCAAGAACTCAAGCAGCCAGTGACATCACCCCCGTAAAGAGCAAAGATAAATACATCCTTGCTTGTAGCTTCTTCCATCTTACGCAGTTCCAGGCCCAGCTTCAGGAATAGTGCCACCCACAGCTGGTAGGGTCTTCTTGTTTCAACTAACAATCAAGACAGTTCCCCACAGACATGTCCACAGGTCGACCTGATCTAAATAATTCTTCACTGAGATGCTCTTGCCAGGTAATTCCAGGTCATGTCAAGCTGTCAGGCTTGGACCACTTCCTCTCTGTCCTGTAGTAATTATTTTCTATTCCTGTACCTGCTGACTTCCTGTCTTTATAAATAAAACACACTGGAAATATAACATCCAATCCAATTATTACTCCTCCAGTCCAGTGCCTGTGGACAGTCTGCAGAATGCAGGGTAGAGCTTCAGAATGCAGGGTAGAGCTGTAGAATCCAATGCTGCTGCTGCATGCAGCTTGGTTTGTCAGTATCTCCTCGGCTAGCCAGCACGACCACTTCCCTCACGCTGGAGCTCACCTTCATGACGGGGACATATTGGATGAGCCAAGTCCAACCTTGAAAATGGTTTCTAAGACCCACTGCAGGGTGACCGACCGCACCTCCCTCGCCGGTCCTGTGGTACCCAGGAGTGACTGCCTCAGTGCTCAAGCTCACCTCTGTCATTCATTGGCTGCAGACTGATGGTAGCTCAGTCTGCCTGGTGTGTGGAGTTGGGGGTGTGGGAGGCAGGAAGTGGATCCTCAAGGACAAAGAATATGAACGGCTTGTCCTGTATAACTCACACCTGGGTGTATTCTGTGGACTAGTAAATATGTATTGATCAGCAGAGCAAATGAATAAATGAATTCATGGAAGGTACCAAGCAGAATGAGTATTTGGGTTTCAGAGTGATAAACCCAGTAATCGATGCTATCCTTGGCTTCATTTGCAAACAGTTACAAAGCTGTCTGACACTATCCACCAAAGAATTTGTAACATGATTTCTAGAGCTGTGGCATCCACACCATTGCTAGATTTGCTCTAATCTGGAGATAGTCAAAGATTTTTTTCATAACAAAGAAATTATTAGACAATGATTATTTCAAAAAATATTTTATCTCAATAATTTTAAAGGAATTTATTTTTATAGACTCAAGGTGGACTTTTCTTTCTCTGCAGATAATCTGTCTTTTTGATCAGAGCAGGAGGCTCCCGCTTGTTTTTTCCCAGCGGCTTAGCCCCAAAACAATCACATAGACCCTGTATTATTTAAATCACTGCTTGGCCCATTAGCTCTAGCTTCTTATTGGATAACTCTTACATATTAATTTAACCCATTTCTATTAATCTGTGTATCGCCATGTGGCTGTATGTAAAGTTCTATCTGGCTCCAGCAGGGCTACATGGCTTCTCTGATTCCACTTCCTTTCTCCCAGCATTCAGTTTAGCGTTCCCTGCCTAGCTCTGTTCATCTATAGCTCTGCTATAGGCTCAAAGCAGTTCCTTTATTAACCAATGATATTCAAAGCATACAAAGGGCAATCCCACATCAGATCAGGAAGACTTAAAGTGAAAAAGGATGTTTTTTCCTGCTCCCTTCCTGTTTGTATATTCATATTTTTGTGGACACATGCGCGCGCACACACACACTTTTGTCAGACAAATCATTGTAAAATTATTCCAACATTCTCCATTGTATTATTAAACGCAAGCTTTTCTGTGTTTGCAGCCAACTTTGGTCCACCATACTCCGAGGCTGCTGTTGCCAATTCCTTTTGGATATGTACAACACAATTTCTGTATTTTGTTTCCTTACATTAATCCACATGTGCCAAACAGTTTTTTAAGTAAGCCCTGGGCATCTCTTAAATCAAACAGACATTGAACTCATAAAAAAGAGCCTGATGATGAATGAAAGAAGTGAGATACATGGTATTTTAGACGATACATTTTAGGAACAAATCCTAGCAAAAGCCAGGCAGAGCGGGATGGGCACTGTGGGCGTTGGTCAAGGAAGGACTGGGGAAGTGAACCTTCGAGGCGCATCACGGAGCTTTCTTTTTGGCACATGTTCTCATGCTCCTATCAGGCAGTTCTTACAGGGCATGGCTCCCCCTCATCCCCTTCTTCCCTTACCCATCAGCATCACAATTATCACTCATGGATATGTGACCTGTCACCCCGTCCTGGCTAGATCCTGTGTGTGGACCACTGGGTATCCCTGAGCTACCTTGCACCAGAAACTTCTCTGGTCTTTCCCTCAGTCGGGTCCATGGTCCAGGGAGGTTTTCTGATACCACTATCATCCTCTTTGACGGCACAAAGGGCCGTTCCCACGGGTTCCAAGTGAGAGACCAGAGGCGTTGCCCAGATGGGTCCCCCACCCCCACGCAGCCAGTTTAGAGCGGTTATTTAATCTCCCAAATGAGACGGTTTCTGCGTGGCTCGGTAGAACCCGTCATTTAAATCACGGGAATGATCTAAATGAAGCAAACTTCAGTTCCCTCCGAGACGTGGGTGGGAAGGCTGCCGAGTGAAGCGTACCGAGTCACCTCCGTGTCACCTGGCTCATAGACTCAAAACGTGTTCCCACTCCAGGGAAGGGAATTACACCTCTAATTGCGTTGTCAAAATCTCCTTTTTACCAAGAAGGAGGCTGGTAGATGCCACTGCCATTTAGCTTTCAAGTAACCACTGAGTTAAATGCTAAACTTTCCTACACTAAGACCATTCTGGGAGTTTTCCCACGGTGTCTGCCCTACAATGTACCCTTCCGCGAGAGTGACTCCTTTCTGCTTGCCCCGATACTAGCCACAGCCTGTGTCCTATGTCACCCTTGTTGTTTGAGACAGGGTCTGGCTATGTAGCCTAAGACTCCTGATTTCTGGGGTTGTGTATGTGAACCCCCATATCTGGAGTGCATTTTTCTGTACTCGCTGCAAGGCTTGGGGTCCCTCCTGACGCTAAAACTCACCTGGGGTTGCATGACACTTAGGGTGAGGCAGGGCCACCACGTAACACTGCAGAAGTGATGTCAGGTCTCAGCACCCATCATGGAGTGACCCTCACTGTTGGGAGCAGTGAGACCCCAGATCCTGAATTTCTTGTAAACAACTTGTTTTCCCCTGATCTGAGTGCCTACAGCTGCTCTGAGCACAAGACCTTCAGGAGTTCCTGATGGCAGGAGAGTGGTTTCTGGTGGGTTTGGCTGGGGCATGGCTATCTCTATATAATCTGCCCCTGAACACAATAAAGTGGGCATTCTTGGGGAATTCAAGTATGACTCGTGTCATTGTCTTTCTCTCTGTGTGTGTGTGTGTGTGTGTGTGTGTGTGTGTCTGTGTATTTTAACTTCCAGCCTCCTTGCCCGAAGCTCGCGAACTGGGTGATAACGTACCAAACGCAGACACCAGGGCGCGGTGCGGGGCACCTCACCACCCCCTGGGACCTCTAAAACTCAGGTTGCCTCCTGAACGTGAAGTCTAAGACACGGCCTGTGGATAACCCCCAGAAATCAACCTCTCTGTGTAGGTATATAACGCTCTCTGATCCTTCATGTGGATTCTCCAGTTCTTTGCCAATCTGGGAAA